TTTTGCAAGAAACCTGCAGCGATAACCATGAAGAGCCTAGCGCGTTTCAAGATGCAATGCCCTCTGTTGCTTTTCAGGTAAGCTTTGCTTCATCTGGATAAGATGTGACAAACATGCATTTATTTGTTGTAATAAACTGGTATAATCTCTTTGACAACAACATATAATTGTTTCTCGTCCCCCTCGCCAATATGCTGGTATAAATGTCTTGTTCACATGGTAAAGATTAGAAAAGGGAAAAAACGTTACACTATAAAGCACAACCGAAAGTGCATAACCACACCATACCTTCATGGTACTTGTTTCAGGTTCCAGCTTGGTTCTGAACTTCTGATGGCACTGTGTCTGATTATGATAACAGAGATATATGATTTGTTGGATTGGGCCCTTTTTTGTATAAGTGTTCTTTTTGCCTCAATTTCCAAAGAAAATGGCATCTTTAATTCAAACTCTTATGAAAAAGGAAAGTAGAAACAAAATTTTGGATGCCTTAGACATGACTTTTCCCCAATGAGATCATTTAGGATTTAGTTTCTAGCTTGTTTCTAATGGTTTTCATTTTGGTTTGTAACAAGCAGATACTGTTTTTAGAACTAAGAAAAGTTGATAAACTTGCTGAAGACAATGTCTTTGAAGAGGATTGGTGGATGGAGCTGTTAAGGGAGTTGATAAAGGCTATATTCTCTTGGATTGTAAATAACAACAAGATTTGGAGAAATACGAAAGAGAATTCACCTGCCCAACTTTCTGACATAATCAGTCAGGTAGTTTCATTCTAATCCCAGAAAATTTCTGGAAATGAATTTTGTTACACTGCTATCTGCATCAGTTTCTGTTGTTTATCTTTAGAATTTTAGATATGCAGTATAGACATTCAACTTTTTTAGTACTTTTACCTAGGGAATAGCTTTATTTTTAATATAGCTAGAACCTTTGGTTCATTTATCCCAACAATTTGCAGGAAGCAAAGAATGATTAATCTTCAAATTACAGGTGTCTTTTTCCAAATTGTTGGCTGTAATAAATAATTTTTTTTTCTGCCATTTGAAATTGTTGAAAGCCTGTTCCCTCTTAAAACCTCATGTTTTTAACTCTCTTACCAATTACTCTATCACAAGCCCCCTATAGTTTTATGTCCCACCCCGAACAACATCAGATACTATTGACTCTATGTTTCTCTGTACCTGCAGTTTAGAGTTCCCAAATTTATTTTCTGCACTGTACCTGCAGTGTGGATATTTAACAGAATTATAATTTCAGGTTATGGATCAGTTATAGAATCCTGAATAAGTAAATCTTTATTGAGAGTTTTAAACTTGTAAGCATTTACGTTTCTTCAGTAAATGAATAATTAACAGTCAATGGCATACAATACAAGCTGGTAACATGGTTTAAGTTCTTTTATACATTTTTTTAGTTTCTTTCCTGCCTTCAGACCACAGCTCTCTAGATGTAAGGGAAATATATTGGAGAGGCTCGAATAGCTTTCATCTAGACAGCTTCACATTATTTTCAATACATGCACTACTATCATCTGATTGACCTGCCAAATATTGTTGCTAAAACAGTTTGTCGTGGACATGCATTTTCTGGCGGAAATCTTGAATTATGGAGGATACTTCTCCAAAAAACCCTTGGTTCCCCTAAGTCTTGTGGATTCGGCAGTTACTTCAGCTGGACGTGATCCTAAGAGGTGATATTTCAAGTCATTATAGAATGACTGATGCTAGAAACAGTAGTTTTTCCTCATTCATCCCATGCTTAAAAGAACCTCCAATATAGTATTTCTCTTATCTAATTAGTTATTCTCTGAATGAAGTTGTAATCCCTACAACACGTGTCCTTTTTTTATCAGAGATATTAATGGTGATGGATGGGTTAAAAATGCTGCAACTGAAGCAATTCAAAAGCTACTGGAGATTGAGAAGAAGCAACTGTTTTCTAAAGATGATTCTGCTGATAGTCGGGAGGAGGAACCACGTGAAAATGAGTCAAATGACCCTGTTCAGGATGAAAGTAGAAGTACTGTGAAAGAGTCTCTGGTGTTGGATGACGATTCACCAAAGGCGGATGCTGTTGAAGTTGCAATCACAACATAAACAGAGACAAAGGCTAAAAGCCCTCCTGAAGGGTCATTATTATCTCTTGCTGATGTTGGGGATTTTTCTGCTGGTAAAGGTGGTGTGGTTTTGGCGGACAACTCCTTTGGACTAGAAGATGCGGGATCTGAAAATGGAAGTAGCAAAGCATGTGATGAACTTTATTTACAGGAGAAAACTGATCTGCCAGATCTAGCCTCATTTGATGGTTCGGATGATGCTTCAGAGCAAAGTGTTCCTGTGAAGGAAGATACCGGCAGTGAGGCCGATGCCACTGATTCTGTCCTTAATGAGCTAGAAGACGATGGTGGAGATATCTGACTCCATAATCAAACTGGTAAAAGGGAAATGAAAAATGTAAAAATCATCATCGGTATTCGGTAGTATAAAATAGTTAAAAACCAGATGAAGTGAATTCCAGGATCTTTCATCGTATTGACAGAGACGGAGATGGGGTAGGCTGATTGCACCCTCAAAGTGAAAGAAAACCCTTTTGTTTAATCATATGGAGGGTTTTACGTGATGAAGATTTTGTTGAGGGAAATATTTGATTCGACGCAAATGAGAATTTGATACAGCGGATGGCAAGGCAAATTTAAATGTCTTAATTCCCTAAACTTCACATAATAAAACTTCATGTGGCTAATTCATAATTTTCTATTTTTAAATATTAAATTAAGAAATTATATAATTTTAAGAGACAAATTTATATTTAATCGTATTAATAATATACTCAAGTTGTACTACGTAAGTGATCATATATTGTTTTAATATAAATGTTCAACTCCAACTGTTGTGAACGGTTAGTAATGTATTAAAATTTTAATTATTATAATTAAATTAATATTAAAATTCTGATAATTTTGATAACATAATCCCACAATTTATACAACTCTAATCTCCAATGCAAAAAGAAGTTCAAGTACAATATAAAGAGTAATATCAAACATAAATACTCATGACAATATTTTTGCTATTTCTACTTGTTCAGAGTAATAAACTTTAATAACTGTGAGAAGCCTTGTTGTTTTTATAAGTTTTGCCATCCCTTTTAAATTTAATAATCATAAAATAAAAATCAGGCATGCATTGTTTGTCCAATGATAGATATTTAAGATACTTTTTTTTTTTTAGGGAGATATTTAAGATAATTATTTAAACTATATTTTGCGGGTTTATTTTATTTAAAAATAACTTAAGCATATTCCTCTATCTTCCTATTTCTCTTTCAAGATTTGGATGTTTTAGATAAAATATTCACAATTTTTTTAGAATTTTACTTTTTGCAACTACTAGTATTATATTAAAAATTATATTATAGTGTAGAGTCTACTTTATAAAATTCCACATAATTATTTAAAAATATATAATTTATGATAAGATATAACATTATTAGATAAAGTGTGCTTATCTGAATCTTTACGTGACATAAAATATAATACATTATTTATATTTATAATTTAAATAAAAGTTAAATTTTTATATTTGAAATTTGAGAATGTAAGTTTTATAATATCGAAATCAAAATAGAATGAAAGACAATTTTTTAAAAAATAACTAACTTTTAAATGGAATATGTTTTACAATATTTCTAATTTTAAAATCATACATATCTCTTTTATTTTCATTAAATTAATAATAATATTTTTTATATATATTAAGATTTTGTATACATTAAATAATTGTTATTTTCATTTCATTTTCATATATTTTTATATATTTTTTTAGGATCAATTTTATTGTTTAGTAGTTATGATAATTCTAATGAGACTATCCTTGGGATGCATATTTGTCATCCAACAATCATTTTTTGATTTTAAGCCTATAAATGATGTGTTACATAAAATTTTTTTTTTTCAAAAGCATATATTACTTATTTTTATGAAATTGTTTTTATAAGATATTTTTTTCAAATTCATTTTTTTAGCAGACACCCTAATAATTTTCAATGACCATGCAAAATATATTTATCTTTTGTAGGAAACAAAACTACTTTAATCTAAACAATTATGTTATGATTTAGGTATTGATAAATTACTTATTTATTTTTTAATTAAAAAATAACCACATGTTAAATAATAAAACTTTTCAATTTATTTAACCATTTGAAGATAAATAGCTCTATTATTAAATCAATTAAAAATTTTTAATGGTAAGCATTATTAAAATATTGAATAAAATATTAACAAAATTGAAATAAAAAATAATGCTATTAATAAAAATCTAAATTGTTGTTTCATTTATTACTGAATAAATAAAACAAAATTTCTTATTAAACAATACATAAATTTTATTTTGGACTCTCAAATTCAAAGTTAAAGTGGTTATTTTTAATAAATTCATAAAATTTTATTTTATATAACTATTTATAAATTAAATTATCATTCCACGAAATTAAAACGTATATAATTAAGTAAAACTAGTTCATCGCAAGTGTCACAAGTTAATTGGATATATTTTGTCATTTATTTTGTTCGAATAATCCCAATACTACTTAAGTGTATTATATAGTAGAACAAATTTCTCAATATAGAATGATATATTTGTCAAAAAAAAAAAAAAAGCGGGGAAAATTTTGTCGTTTTTGAGGATTCCTTTTGAAATTTAATGTAAAACGGTGGCGGGAGTTCATTATAGAAAAAGAACGAAAGTCGCGCGCGAACTGCAAAACAAAATACCCGATCAGTTCCGCCAACTAAAAATCTCAACGGCCCGCCTATTCTAAGCCTACAAATCCCAGCCGTCCACGTGACCTCAGTCAAAATCAATAAGTCTCCCTGTTTTTTAAGCCCCCCTATAAACCTCTAACCGGGTCCCGTACCGTGAAGAAACCTCTTCCACTCCAGAAAAAGTCGTTTCCTTTTTTTTTTTTTTGTGGTTTCTTTTGGGAGTCAAAAAAAAAAAAAAAAAGAGACGGTGAGTCGAGTTCTCGAAGAATGAGCGAGTTGGGTAAGCAGAGCAGTAACAGAGCCATGAACCCTTGGGTTCTTCATCTCCAAAAACTGGGTCTCGAGCTCAAATGTCCTCTCTGGTTCGTGTAATTGTTTTCTTTCGCGCTTCTTTTCCTTTATCTTTTGGGTTTTTGACTTTATTATTGTTTTAAATGTTCGTGTTTGCAGTTTGAACTTGTTTAAACGACCATTGTTGCTCCCATGCGACCATCTGTTCTGCGAGTTAGTGCTTTCTCCTTCTTTTTTTAACTTTATTATTCATTGCTTAGTTTTTAATTAATTTTCTTTTCGAAATTATTGCAGTTCATGCATAGCCAGATCTAGTGAATTTGGTTCAGAGTGCCCTATTTGCAAAGCCCAATGTGCAGATCGAGGTAAAGTTCTTTTATTTGCTTCTCCTTTGATTTTTCTTTTCCCAAAAGTTATTTGAAACTAAATTAAAAAAAAAAAGGGTAAAATCTGGGTTATCTAAATCACATTTTATCATATGACTTATTGGGCGTAAGTAAATCACTTTTACTTGCTTGTGGGTCTCACCTGTTTAACTTTATTGATTGACAATTGTGTTAAAAAGGTCAAAACATGTATGGAGGTAGAGTAGTATTTGATATGTTCCAAACAAAAAGGCGAAGTGTTTTATCTAATTTTAGTTTTTCTTTTGGTTAAATTGGCTTTTAAATTTGGATGACATATCTCTCTTCTTTTTGAAAGTTTTGTGTAGTTGTTGATTGCTTCTTTGGTATACATTTCCATTTATGGATAAAAAGGCTATGTTGGTTGCAGATCTCAGGCCTGTGACCTTCATGGACAATATAGTGGGAATCTATAGAAGTTTGGATGCTGCATTTTCTACCAATCTTTCTCATTCTTTCGAAGATGGGGTTGGCAAAAATGATAAATCTGACAAGTGCAGCATGCAAAAGTGTGGTACAGACAAAGGATATGAGACTCCTGGCAAAGGAGGGATTGAATGTAATAGTTCTGGGAAAGTTGATTTGCTACAACATATTTCCCAAAAGCAACTAGGGGTTTCTCTAGAGTCTGGGAATGGGCAAACGAACATGAACCAATTGGATCAAACAGCCTTAAGCCCTCCTTCCTATGGTGATACAAAGGGTTCTGACAATGATAGCAGTGATCATGTAAGAGTTTACCTTGCTTCTGGTAATGCGTTATGTTATAGCTGGGTGGTCTATTTGCTTTAACTTTGTTTATGTTATTTATGTTTGTAGTTGTATGGTTGCAGATCAATCCTGGTTCTCCCTAGTCACTTCAGTTCCTATTTAACTTGTCACTTGTCAACTTGTTCTGTGTTTCCCATAGTTTCCTTGCTATACAACTATTCTTTAGGACTTATGCTGCTGATATAATGCTATTGCTTGTGGAACATTTTATCATCTGTGACAGTTCTTGGTCATTAGAGTGGATTTTGTTGTATTTAACTCCTACATGAGAGTATGTTTACTTGACAATCTTGTTGACATGATTTTCAATGATTTTTCAGAGTCCTGGAAATTATCCAGCCAAAGGAATGAGTAAAAGAAGTTTTGATGATATGATACGTCAAAAGAAGGATGATTCTGTTTTAGGAATTGATGATCATTTATGGGATTCCAAGAGACAGAAGAGGTTGAACTATAGGCAATTAGATATGGGTGTGAAAACCATGGTTCATTGTCAACCGGTTTTGCAAGCCCAAAACTTAGTGACTTCCAATTGTCAAATAGGTTCTCGAAATGGAGCACCTCTAGCTGGTGTAGATCTGCCATCAGATAACTTGAATGGAAATGAAGCAATTTGTGGATTTTGCCAGTCTTCTAGAATCTCAGAAGTAAGTTTCTACTGAGCATTACTTGGTTCTTCCTTTTATTGAAATTTATCTTTATAATTAGGTTTAAAATATGTTGGTGAATTGTTTGGCTTCGCACACATAATGAAGTTATTGAGAACTTGTCTTCTCAAAAAATTCACAGGCCACTGGACCAATGCTGCATTATGCTAATGGAAAACCAGTAACAGGAGATGCAGCATTCTGCTCAAACGTTATACATGTCCACCTTTTGTGTATTGAGTGGTATTTTATCCTGGCAAGCTTGTTTGTATTTTTGTCTGGTCATGTTTTATGTTGACACATTAAGTTTCTTTTGTTGCTTTCTTGTTACTAGAAATACACTGATATCACCTTGAAATGTAGGGCTCCCAAAGTGTATTTTGTTGGTGAATCTGTTAAGAATCTTAAGGAAGAACTGGCAAGGGGTGCACAGCTAAAGTGCAGCAGATGTAGACTAAAGGGGGCGGCACTTGGCTGTTGTGTGAAGTCTTGCCGCAGAAGTTATCATTTTCCTTGTGCAAAAGAGATTCTGAAATGTCGATGGGACCATGTAATTGCACTGTACCTTTTTTATGAGACGAGCATTTATAGCTGTGAATTTTTGCTTTTGCTTCTCTATGCTTCACATGTCAATTTTGCTTATAATTCTTTCCTTTCTCTTACAGGATGAGTTTCTTGTGCTTTGTCCTTCCCATTCTTCAGTCAAGTTTCCAAATGAGAAGTCTCGTAATGCCCATTCTTCAGTCAAGTTTCCAAATGAGAAGTCTGGAAATGTCCATTCTTTAGTCAATTTCCCAAATGAGAGGTCTGGAAACTGTGTATCTACTGATCATAGTGTGACAACTGAAAGGTATATTCTCAAATTCATCTATCTTGTGATGTGCAATTAATCATTTGAAATATCTTAGATATGTTCCATAGGCCTATACCTTCTTTGCATGCTTTTTGAAGGAGTTACCATTTTACATTTCATTTTGATTCACTTAGAGAAAGAAAAGGTAAAAGAAGCCAAATTATTTGGAAACTGGAATTTTCATTTCCAATTATGAATGAAGTCATAAACTGATTATTGAATTGTCTGGAAAGTGAACTGATTTTGGTTCTGCATGCAGCGGCCATCTGAAATCCAACAAATTTTGGGGCCAGCCTGATGATAAAAAAGAATGGGTGTTTTGTGGATCTGCTTTGTCTCCCGAGGAAAAGGTCAGATTAGATGACACTCATTTCTGTATTTAAATTTGAATCATTTATAAGTTTTGAGTAGTTATCTTTATTCTTTACTGTGTCTTTGAATTGTTTGTATTTTATTGTGTGTTGAAAGGTAAAAAACTCAAAATGATGATATTTTTCAAGTGTTGAATTTTTAAATTGATCCTTTTTTGGTGTTAAAATTTTCATGATGGAAATGGATGAAATTGTAGGTTGCACGATCTAATTTGGAATATCTAACATGGATGGAATATCCTTTAATGGGCTTTTTCTTTTCACAACAATTGACTCTCGTGGTATTAAAGTCACTAAAGATACTAATATTTATTTTTTACCTTGTTTCAGTTTCTTTTGGTTAAGTTTGCAAAAAGTATTGGTGTAACTGTATCCAAGTTTTGGAAGCCAGATGTCACTCATGTGATTGCTTCTACAGATGAGAATGGTGCATGCACGAGGACACTTAAAGTTCTCATGGCCATTTCAAATGGGAAGTGGGTTCTTAAAATAAATTGTAAGCTCAATTGATGTTTTCCACTCTATCTATGGGCCCATTTTTCTTTTCCTTTGTTGCATGTGTGTTGGTTAAAGTCCAATCTCTGTACCCAAAAAACATTAAGTTGTATTATCACCATTGCTTTGATTTGTAAGCTTGACTTTACAGGGATAAAGGAATGCATGAAAGCTATGTGTCCCGTGAATGAAGAGCCTTATGAAATTAGTCTTGACAACCATGGTTGTTGTGATGGCCCTAAAACTGGCAGACTTAGGGCATTGGATAATGTAAGTGTTGTCCTCATGTGCTAGTGTGTTAGTTTTCAAAGTTGGTAATGCTCTTACCTTTGCTAACTAGCATCTTTTTCTCGTTTCATTAGTAACTAGATATTGGAAAGCTTCAAGTTAATTTCCTTTCCATAAAAAAATTTGCTTGTGTTTATTGATACCCTTGGCTTGAATGCTAATTTCTTTTCTGCAATTGAAATAACTTGTTTACTTGTTTCTCTTGCAGGCACCAAAGCTCTTTGATAGCCTAAACTTTTATTTTGTGGGTGACTTTGTGTCTGGTTACAAGGAAGATCTTCAAAATTTGGTTGTAGCCGCAGGGGGTGCTGTTTTGAGAAGAATGGAGGAAGAACTAGTGGAACAGAATAGTGGTGATCAGGCAGTTCAAACAAGGATGATCGTTGTGTATAACCTGGATGTACCCAGAGGATCTGAGTTAGGAGAAGAAGTTTCAATTATTTGGCAGAGAGTTGGTGAAGCACAAGATTTAGCCACAAAAATAGGAGGACAAGTCATTGGCCACACATGGCTTTTGGAATCAATTGCCGCACATAAGTTGCAGCCTTTTGTCAGCTAACTAAAGACTGATAAGTAAGTCATTTTAGCTTGACAAACAACAAATTTGTTAGCTATGCTCTGTTCAGATCTTGTCATAAATCTTTTTGCTGTATCATTGTATGTAGTTGTGTATGTCTTTGTAGTTTAGGTTTGAATTTTTATTGGACTATTGTTGTATCATGAATCTTTTGAGCTGGGTGCATTATATGAGAAAGGATATTTTTGACGTCTAAAATAATAGCCATGAAGCGACTACACTGAAATTTGCATTTCACAGCATTGTAAGAAGAAATTACAAGGGATATATTACCAACTTGGACCAGTTTTCAAAGCTTGGCCTTTAGATGGAGCATTGTCCAATGAAGTTTCCATGGCTTCCTGCAAATCCCTTTCAGCTTCAGTCATGTCTGCGTTATAAACAAAAAGTTTGGCCACAAACAAGTAGAAGAGAAAGTTCAAGAAACCAAGGCCAGCCAAAAATGCATAATAATAGTCAAGGTGAGAGATGTTCAGGTTGTCCAAGATCCACCCTCTGTGACCGTTTCTCCTAGTCATATCAGAAACTGTGGTCAGAATAAAACTACCAAGGAAATGCCCAATTCCTATGCTGCTTGTAAAATATGAGGTCCCAAGGCTCTTCATTCCATCTGGTGCTTGGTCATAGAAAAACTCTAGCTTTGCGACTTCCACGAAAGAATCAGCGACCCCCATCAAGGCAAACTGTGGTAGGAGTATAAAAATACTGAGAGGAATTGTATCGTTTTTACCAAATTTCTGATGCTCTCGTACAACGCTAAGTCTCTTCCTTTCAGCAAAACAAGCGATGATCATAATGATGATTTGCCAGACGAGGCCAATTCCCATTCTTTGAAGCAATGTGATCCCTCTGGGATTTTGGGTGTAACGCCTCACTGTTGGAACGAAGAAGCGATCATATATGGCAATGCTGATCAACATGAAGATTGTAACGAATGCTGTGAGACATGCCGGAGGGATTTCGAAATGGGCACCCATCCTACGATCAAGGGTGGTTCCTTGTTTGACAAACAATGTTCCCACCTGAGCTAACAGGGTGCTTGGTATGAATGTCGCCATCAAAATTGGGATCATTTTTACCATCTGCTTGGTTTCTTCGACTTGGGTCACTGGACACAGCATCCGTGGTGAGTTTGGCCCGCTCCTCACTGCAGCTTTGTCGAGGAATCTGCATAGCAATGCAGTGTAACAAAAGGGTGGAAGGTTATAGCTAGTAAGTCAAGTATTCTGGTTACAGCAAAATAGGGGAACTTAAGAAGATGTTAAAATAGAGAGAATCAACCTTAATGAAGGGGTGTAATCAATTCTGAATTTCTTAGATTTTGAGTACTCTTCCAAGCTAAGCTCATGCAGCTCTTTTGGGTCGCTTGGAACAGGCAAGTTCCACTTCCTGACAGCAGCCACAAGGACTTGGAAAATTCTGGTAAAAGGACTACCCAAAGGCAATTTGTGTCTGTAGAATGGAGTTCCAACCAAGAACACCAAGACAGAGACCAAGAGACCAATTGTTGGCAGGCCATAGCCAAGACTCCAGCCCACATTGTCTTGTATGTAGATCAAGAAAGTGTTGGAGAAGAGGGTGCCAAAGAAAATGCTAAACATCCACCAGTTAAAGAAGGATAGCTTTTGAACCCTTTCCTTAGGCTCAAAATCATCGAACTGGTCTGCCCCCATTGTCGAAATGTTAGGCTTGGTTCCACCTGTTCCTATTGCGATAATGTACAGTGCACAATAGAAAATGCCTTTCTGGAAATCTGAAGCTCTTTTGTTGCAGTTTTCTTGTTTGATCTCATGACCACATGATGGAGGCCTCAAGGAAGCCACAGAAACCGCTAAGGTCAAGAGGGACATTCCCTGTTTATAATTTCGACAGGTGTAAGTGGAAAATTGTGATCATCATCCATCTAAAATTCTAGGAGAATATATATATGCAAAAGAACTGTGTATGTTCATTCAAATGAAAATTTATCAATTACAACACATCAGTGCAAGCATAGCATTGGAATCTCGTCTTTGGTGATCATTCTTTGTAGCTTCTTCATTATAATTTCATGATACTTTGAGTTTCATCTTTCAACCATCCATCATATGGGATTTACATTTATGGATGGACAAGAAATTATTTTTGAATGCAATCAATATGTATAGGTGACATAAACAAAATTAATCACAAGCCATAAGCCTTTGGTTTCTGAAAGATTTCTAACTAAACATTTCTTAATTAGGGGCTCTTTTGTACAAGTGATAAAGTGAAGGAACAAAGAAGATAACGCCAATCGCAACCTTTTTGTGATGATGCACATGGACGTTTGTCTGCTCTCTCTGTTGAATTATTCTTATAGTTGATCGTGAATTAAACCGACAAATAAACCAACAGGCCAGACTATATATTGAATTTGAAATATGTTATGGACTACTCGATGCATGCAGAGATATGAAATCAATTTCAAGTAATCATAGGGGATGATATATTATATATATATATATATATATATATATATATATACTTTCTATACATCTCACTGTTTGGGTTTTGAATTTTCAAACTTATCGATTACTTGGGTTAGCGGTAACTGAAATTACTTAAGATTCATCTATGCAATATTTACTAGGGTTTCTTCTGAGGAAAAAGAAGGCCAGAGAGTCAGAGTGCATGGTACATCCAGGAAGCTACGTCCAACTGCATTAACCTGATCGTCAAATTCAGTCGGGTTTCACAATTAAAACCATGTCTCAGTATCGTGAAACAGTTCTTCCCCACAAGCAAAAATATCAGGAATTCATGTGGCTTAGACTAATGATATATACGTGTCCAATTGTGCATGAGCCATGGAGATCGAACACACGAGTACCTTATGAAATGTCACATAACCACCCCCCCCCCCCAAGGAAAAAAAAAAAAAAAGAGCAAGGAGAATTTAAGGTTTAAAGTTCTATACCATGAGATAAATGGCTGATGCAATAACAAAGGTCCAGTAGCGACCCAGATGAGTATCTGCAATGTAAGCGCCTAAAATTGGGGTCATCCACACTGTTCCAACCCAGTTGTTGACGTTGTTTGCAGATTTTACTGTTCCTTCGTGGAGTTCCTTCGTCAAATACAGCACTAAGTTTGATGCTATCCCGTAATATGCCATCCTCTCAAACACTTCATATCCTGCGAAAGCCATTTCCATAGTTCCATTAATTTGAAAGATAAGGAAATTACAGACAGAAATAAAAAACTTTTAGAGAAATCTGATAAAAAACTTATGTAAATCCTACGGGGACAAGACAAACTAATAGATGCACTGGGCACTGGCACAAGCGAAATAGAACAGTCTTTTTCTTCTTCTCCTCCACTTCCAAACCAAAGGGCACATCTCATATTCACGAATTTTCATTTTCAGACAGGTTTCTAAACAAACAAACTAAGGAACTTTGAGTTCAGCTATACGAATCAATTTCAAGGGAGTGATACTGCTACGTATACGTTTACGAGGCTTAAATGGATTGGAATTTTTTGGATTTCTGATCTCTCAAGCACAGCATGATTTTATAGTACTACTTACCAACAATGAAAGAACAAGCTTTCCATCTTCCAGTGTTTGATCTCAAGACAGGCCTGCCCTTGAGATCCACACTTCCATCTTCGGTATAGTCATCTCTTCCATCTGCTGACCCTTTTTCTTCTTCTACCTTTGCCATTATGAAAGCAAGAGGAAATAAGGCCTTGGGGGTCTAATAAAAGATCATGTGACACAACATAGCACTTTATATAAAGTTTTGGGACAACCAATTAACCATTGAGGGATAGTTCAACAACTTGTCAAGCTAACGTTATCCTACTTATGAGTAAAGAGTTAAAAAATTATTTTCCCACCCTTTCAATGTTGGGATGACAGTAATCCCAAAGCAAATCTTAATAACTTCAAATAAAAATTTTTTTTTGACAGATTTCTCTAAATTATCGACCAGCTTAGCATGGCATGTGCAATCTCAGACAGAGACGGATTTAGGCTGGGGGCTGCCTCCACTAAAATCTTAAAATTTAAATATTTTTATTAGTAAAAGACCCCAAATAGAAATGATTCTTATATTCTGTCCCCGCTAAAATTTCAAAATAACAAGTAAAATTATTAAAAATAAACTCAATTGTTAACTTTTTGTTTTTTGCTCTCACTAAATGTAAAAAAAAAAAAAACAAAGTATGGATCTTTTATAATATTGATATGTATATGAATGTCTTAACAAAATAAAAAAAGTAATTGAATAAGTTAATGGTTCAAAATATAAATATAAAATTTATCTCTTTACTATACTTATTGATCTTGATAGAACGACCTTTTAATAAGTTACAAAACGTATTATGTCATGTCATATTTAATCTAATTTAATCGATAAATTTATTAATCATGTGGTATTATATCCATTTAATAAATATATTTATGTATATATTTAAATCTTTAATTTATTTATTCAGTTGTCATATTTATATTTACTTATATAAGTGTTAATATTCTTTCCTAACATGACACAATTAAGATAAGCAAATGTGATTTTTTAGAGCTAATTTTTATATAAAAATGATATTTTTAAATATTTTATAATTTTTAAAAAATATTTTTATTAATTTATATTTTTAAAAATATTTGATATTATATTTTAATAAAAATCATTTTAAATTACAATAGTTTGTAAATAAATATTACCTAATAATTTATTATTGACCATAAATCTTGAATCCTTCTCTAGTCTCAGACATTGACATGGCCGAAAGAAATCATAGACAAAACAGGAAAAATCCTATTAAGAAATTATATTTGTTCATTCTTTCTCAATCAATTCTTTCAACACGTCTTCATTTTCTTTAGTTTTAAGATCAGGACTGAAATCGTCAAAGTTAACAGCATTTTTTTCTACCGGTTGTAGTTAATCGATCAATTTCATTGACGTGGTAATGACAAAACACGTAGATGAATACAAATGATACATGAAATTGCTATATATATAATATTTATATTTAATTCATTATCGTTATATAAATTTTATATATATCACTTATACATTTTTTTTTATTAATTTCTTCACCTTGTCCTTGTTAATTCGAGGAATATAACAATTACAAATACACTAATGTCAGCTTGTAGTTTTATTCAGAAAGTTGATGGGGAAGACAAAGGTGGCTCATAGAATATGAGCAACAACAAAACAAAAGGGCAGTGACAAAGACAAAAGGATTAATGATCAAAACTATCATTAAAGACAAGGTTCCCCCAAGTGAAATACAAAAAGGGAATCAAAGAAGGAAACGTAATTCTAAATAATAGGATCTGAAGATAAAAATTTGAATTCCACCGTTCATGTGTTCATCCCAATTAAGGGACATCCATATAATTCACATGTATTGTTTTTGGATTTATATTAGGATGTTATAAACTGTGCCTGCCCTGAAACAGACCATCTATATCCAGTCCCAAGAGACTAAGCACAATCGTCAATGGTGGGGCTTCTGCTCATTAAGGAAAAGTTGTCTTAACTGGAATGAATTGTGGCCTAACTAGTCACATGTACTGAAACTTATGACCGTTTATATTTTGTTTGGGACGATGAGTTTGATACTGAACGATGAAGTAGGGTTTCAATTTCGATCACAAAATTATTGTCAAAAGTTTTTTTTTTTTTTTTTTTGAACTAGAATGTTTGGATAACATTTATAAAATTTGACTTAATACTCTTATGATGTAAGAAAAATGAAACTTCTTGACTATTTTTATTTCAAATAACATAAAATTGAGCACTTGATGGCATGGGCTAGGAACTGGATTTTAGATAATTGGGCCTCCAAAGAGATGTTCGGCTCATGAATTAACTAGGTTCTGCAGCCACCCGATGAGTAAAATGAGATTGGGACATGAGCATCTCAAATCAAACGTGAAGTACTAAAGTTTCACCTTTCGTTTGTTTTGGTCGAAAATAATTTTTATATTTTTAAGTATTTATTTGATAAAAAATTGACTAATAAAAAAATTAAGATTAATAAAAAATAAGATAAATTTTTAAAAATTTATCTTATCCTTTTGAAAAGAAAAAGATATTTTTCAAAGAAAAACTATCAATTAATAAAATTACTTATCAATATATTTAAATATAATTTTACTCAAATTGACTTTTGTATATGATTTTTTAAGCTTAAACTTAATTTATTTAGATCCAAAATATTATTATATTAATAAATAATATTAATATAAAAATACTAAATAATTTTATTGTAAATATTTTAATATTAAATATTATTATTAAAATATAATTGTTCTTAAATATTAATAATAAATAATTTCAATATTATTTAATAATAAATAATTTTTAATATTTTAATAATTATATTAATATTATTTGAAAAAAGAAACAATTTTTTATAAAAAAATCAAAAAATAAAAAATATTTTATATTAACTCATTCAAATAATAAAAATTATTTTTTAAAATATAAATATTTTCTAAAAATCAATTAGCAAGAAACAAATGGAATGTTAATATTTTTTTTTCATTTAATTATTGTTATTATTTTTTTTTCTACTTTGTTTTCTGGAAAGAAATTGACAAACCATTCTTGTTTAAAAGTTTATCATTATAAAAACAAGCTTTATACATAAACATTGAAAATATTTTTCATTTTGAAAACACAATTTTTTTTTTTGTTGGAGAAAACAAATGCAATTCGATCTACGTCAATTATTTTCATGAATTATTTTGTTGAGAACAAACTTATAATTTCCTTTTTGCATAAAATACTAATATTAATTAATTAATTATTACAATTATGAGATTAAAATTCAAGAAAGAAGCTTTCGATTTCTTGTTTTGCTTAAAATCAATGAAATCAAGAGATTACATGCATTAATTTCTAGTATCTTCGTCGACAAGATTTTGCTTTGTGTTACAAAGTTCCAAATTTACGCTTTCAAAATTAAAACATTTCATTTCATCTTAAAAAAAAGAAATGTGGGACCTACCACCATGTGGGGATATTAACGTTCAAGATGACCTCATTAGTATTATTTTAATTTAAGAAAAATAAAAAAAAAATTAATTTCAGAAAATTACAGCCTGTAACCCACGATCATGGATTCGTAACGGTCACTTCCTTTTTCCCTCTCTCCGGAGCCAATAAAATAAAATCCCCAAAACTTCAAATCTGTTGACCGTTTTGTCCCTGCCGCTTTTTGGTTTTCTTTTCTTTTCTCCAAGCGCTCTTGCGCTTCTTCTTCTTTCTGTTCCAAAACCGTGAAGACCCATTAAACCAAAAAAAGAAAAAAAAACTCTCTTTTTCTATGCAAAGAAAGAAACCCAAGACAAAGAAAGTGAATTTTTTTAATTTTTAAGAATCAAAGGAAAAGAAAGAAGAAGAAGAAAAAGAGAGATTCTTGCAATGGGTTGTTTTCTTGCATGTTTTGGTTCTTCTAAAGATCGTAAGACTCGAAAACAGAGACACAAGGTTCAGCCTAGATTTCAATTTACGTTTTCTTTAATTTTTTCTTTCTTTATGGACAATTATGGGCTTTACTTCACTTGAGCATTTTTAGTTACATGAAATTTATCAAACTTTTTTTTGTAGATAAATGCTACTTACAATGCTCAATCTACTGTTTCTTTGGAACGGAGCAACTTCGAAACGCCTATAAGTCCGGTTAAGGAAGTTCGGTGAGTAAAATTAATGGGATCTTTATTTATTTATTTATTTATTTTGTTTTTCAGAGTGATGGATTAGATTTTGATACGACAATTTTTTGGGGGTTTAGGGGTGACAAGGCAGAGGAGCAGCTGGGTTCGGGTTCAAGTCCTCAAAAGAAAGTAACATTTGATACTAATATTAAGACCTGCGAGCATGTTTTGGTTGATGAAAGTACTGATCTTAATTTGCTCAATGAAAAAGATGGGGAAAAAAAAGGGAAGGTGAAAGAAAAGAATTTGGCTAAACCAAGGGAGTCAGAAGCCTCCTCTGAGCAGAGTTCGGTAACTTCTAGCTCAAGTTCTTTCCCTCCTAACCATAGGTATCAGAATTGTAGAGAAAGTGATAACGAAGACGATGAATTAGACTGTGAAGAAAGTGATCTAGATGATGATGAGGATGATGATTATGAGGATTTTGATGATGGAGCTGTGGAATCGAGGGATAGAATTCGTGGCCTTGTAGGAGTCACTGAGGAGATTAATGGTTTGGTTGAGGAGGAAGTGAAGCTGATTGGTTTGATTCGAGGTGTTCGTGATGGGAATGGTAATGTTCATCCTGTGCTGAATCCTGTCGAAAATATGACTCAATGGAAAGCTGTGAAAGCAAAAGGGGCAACACCATTTAAGCTGCAAAAGGAGAATCTCAGCTTAGAGCATGAAGAGCCGCGGCTTTCGTTTAGCTCGGAACTTTCATTCAGTTTCAAATCAAAATCTGATCATGAACCAAAGAAGTTGAACGAAGAAGTATCAGTCGATGCCAGCCTTTCGAATTGGTTATCTTCAACAGAAACTACACCAGTAAAAAAGAGTAGCACTTTCGATGCTGGTACAAGTACAACAGAGAGAAGCATGTCACAAGGATCAAATTCATTGAGGAGCCCTGAAGATAGACCTATTTTAGGTGCATTAACTCTTGAAGAGATCAAGAAGTTTTCAGCATCTTCTTCACCTAGGAAGTCTCCAAGTAGAAGTCCAGATGAGATGCCCATAATTGGAACCGTTGGGACCTATTGGAGTCATGTGAGCACCACTAAGGACTCTGACTCAGCTACTACGTTCAAAGGAATACCAAACACTACCAGCAAGTACAGTACAGAGAGGTATATGTGAAATGAGAGCTGAGGGAAGTTTTATATTAGGTAATGATGGATTCTGATTGAGTTTCTGTCATTTGCTGCAGGATAAGAAAGTGAATTGGCAGACTACACCATTTGAGACAAAGTTGGAGGGAGCTTTGAATAGGGGTTCTGAAGCATACTCCAATCAAAATGCATGTTAGGCAAGCTCGTCTGTTTTGGATTGTTGTTTCTGAGTGTCCATAATCTATCTATACACGTCTTTCCTTTCTTGTTTTTTTGACATGTTCTTGCTTGTTGGAAGTCTTTTTTTTTTGTACTTATTTGGTGAATTTTAATTAATGCATATGATTGGTTTATTTTATTTTATTTTTTCACATATCCCTTTGGTGTTGATTACTGCATTTTGTCAAAGTTCAGACGATTCTTTCCCAGAGCCAGAGAACAATATTTCATCAATAATTCACAAGGAAATTGATTCATTCTAGCAAATTATTGATAAGGTGACATGGAAGGGAGCCTCACCCACATTCTATGTGCATTAAAAAATCAAAATAGGTTTCATTTTCTAGTAGTTCCCTTATTGTAGTTTTCAGTTGAAATGAAACATCAAATACGTGTTCAATTTTTCCTTGGAGTAATGAAGCTGTGATCTTCTTCAATTCCGGAATGAATTGCCGGAAATAATGGCATGTTTTAATTGAAACATATGCGTTGTTTAAATTTATTTCAGTATAATTAAACCAACAGTTTATTGGAAACTAATAAATTAGTTTAAATGCTAAACTAATGGGGTTTTAGTCGAAAAGTAATTGATTAAAGGCTAAAAGTTAATAATTACATAAATCATGAAAAAAAAAAAAGGAAAAATCAAGAAGAAAATAAGGACCATGTGTATGGTAAGGGAACCAGAGAAGGACAGGATACTGATAATGTTGACAAGAATCACGTTAGTTATTTACTTTAAATAGTTTGAGGCTTGACATTGACCAATTACAAGTCTATTCAACTTGTGAGTTACAAAATAGTAAAACTAGCCGTCATACATTTTTGCATTCATACACAATTAAACCGCTATTATTAATTACTATTAAATTTCAATAATCATGATGAAATCTTTAATGAGATTTTGAATTTACCATTTTATATACAATTTGATCTGTTAACAAACAGATATTTTATATGATTCTCTAATTATGAGGAATAACATTTTTTTACAAATAATTTGAAAAGTTAAACGTCTCTCCTAGATTTTTTAATATATATCTCTATAATTAAATATTAAAAAATTAAAAAAATCTTTGCTTGACTCCTGTCCAAGCTTAAGAGTTGGAGATAGGCTAACGGGTTAGGTGTTAAGGTAGTTGATTGTATACATACAGAAACATGGTAACGGGTTGGACTACGCCGGGCCAAACTCGGATGGCCTTAGCTCAATGAGTGTATGTACAAAAATCTTTGCTCAATGAATCTTTAAGACTCGTTTTTTTAATAAAATATTAAATACAATTAGATAAATTTAATATAAAATTGAATTAAATCTACACAGGCTTGAATCTCTGATTTCAAGTTCTAGAATGGTAAGCTATGGTTTCATAGACCATGTTAGTTCTCTTTCATTATACAAATGCTTTACATTATTTTATTCAAGTTAGAAAGTGAAACAACTTTTCTAAGATCAGCCTTCATATCCATTCTAAGATTATGATGGGAAAGCAGCCAGGGGAGCTCTTGAATTCCCTGTCATCGGCAACATTGTTATCAAACAGTAAGGAATTGCTTCTGAAGGATCTGCTAGACCAACGGCTTCCACCACCTACTGATCAATTAACAGAGGAAGTTGCATTTGTTGTCATCATAGACTTAGCTTGCATACGTTCCGTACCGGATTCAAGACCCACCATGCGTTTTGTGGCACAAAAGTTATCAGCAAGAACGAAGGCTTGCTTGGATGAGCCACTGGGAACAATAACTATTAGCAAGCTGACTGGCTTTCAGAAATAGAACAAGACGGAAACAATAGGCAGGTTTCAATCTGGGGATGCAAAGACTTGGATTTTATTACATTTTTGTTACATAAAGTAGATATGCTTGGCCTTGTTTCATATTTTTCTTGTTTTACAAAGTGTATGAATTGTATTGCAGCCCATATAACCGATAAGAAGATTGGATTTCAAAAGTTCAAAAGGTTATTGGCTGCAGACTAGTCCTGGGTTAACCCCAGGAACTAATTTACTTTAGCTGTCCTTTTCCTCCATGTTCAACTACCAAATTGCAAGACCAATATTCGGCGTTTTTGTACATAACTTTTGCTTTTTAGCGTGGAAACTTCAGTCATTGTAGCTTTTTTAAGTAGGGTATCCATTAAAGAATTAGTATGACCTTTATTAGTATTCTTTTCTCTGGTCAAAAATTGACTTTTGACTTCTGCGGAAACGTTGGTTCCTGCAGTACTTGCTGTCTACTTGCCTTTGAGAGTATGCTGTCCTCTCCGATTGACCAACCAAACTAAGGAGGATACCAGGTAGGTACAAGTATATCTATGTTAATAAACTGTCTGGGTCTGGGGAAAATGAAGAAAAATATTTGTCAATGGTTTCATCTTGATGTATATGGAAATAAAATTATGTTATGCAAATGTGAATTAATGTCACGCTCTTTTGACTAAATGTACTTCAATTCACTCCATAATACTTTCCGACTAATCAGGATTCAAGCGTAACAAAATTTTTACGAGATTGCTTTTACTTTTTTCCTTTTTTAAGTTTTTACTTTATTTTATTTTATTTTAAAATTTCATCTGACCCATTAGAGACTTAAATGAAACATGTTAGATCGATATAGTCTAATTAAATATTAATCCATATGTTAATGGATTATGTCAGTCTAAAATTATTTTTTAACGTATCGTGTTGACACGATCTATGAAAGTTAAGGGTATAATTTAGCATGACAAATGACTTGTAATCTTTATGAGTTATGCTATGCCAAGCATAATATTATTTTTCGTGCCGAGTTGAGTCAAGTATAACTTATTAATATTTTTTCAAAATTTAATTTTTTAAAATATTTTTCATCTATTATTATAAAAAATAACATATCAAAAATAAATACACATAAAACAAAATAAAAAAAGATATATAATTTACATGATTTTATAAAATATCGACATACACAAAAATGAATAATAGAATTCACTAAATAAAAATAGACATTATAATTTTTTTTTTTGTAAGAAAAAATTCGATAGTAGATAGACTACTTAGTCTCTCAGGTTAAGATAAGATGTGCTATACCTAACAACCTAAGACAGGTGATTGCAAGTCGTGCATTCGAAATGACCTCAACAAGTGGCCACCGACAAGACTCGAACTCAATATCTCTTCGTCGATGAAGACAAATTTCACCGATTAAACTAACTATTTATTAGTGAAATTATAATATTAATATTTGAAAAAAAGCACACACATACACACACACCGTCTATTCAATTTGCAATAATACACATATAGCTAAGGTTTTATCGATCGATCCATATATCAGATGTAAGTAAAATTTTAGAAGAAAATTTTGATAAACTAAATATTAAATTTTTTTTATAAGAAAAAAATATTTTAAAAACATTTTACCTAATAGTATTTCTTGAAATTGTTTTATATCTAATTAAATCATTAAAATGTTTACTTTTTGCAAAAACAAATGATTGTTTAGACTATATTATAAATTTAACTAATTGATTATATTAATTATTTTGTGAAAAATGCCATGCACTTAAAGACTTATTAGAATGCTCGTCAAGTGTAATTTATGTAGGATCAATAGGAGGGATAGAAGCAACCTCGTATTTTTTTTATACCTTTTCAAATAACTAATCCTTCCTTTTATTTTATAACTAAAATATTATATATATATATGTTATAAGTTTGAAAATTGTGATCCTATAACTTTGAAAAAATATTAATTTATTTTTATACACATAAATTTAAATAAAAAAATTTGTATATCAAACAATTAGTAAACTAATTAGATATAATTTATCTATCAATTATTTAAATATTTAATAAGTAAATTTATTTTATAAATTATCAAAAATAAATATTATTTTACTATAATATAAAAAAATGAATACACTTAAAGGTTAAAATCCATTTATAAGAGTTATGGGCTAATATGTCCTGATGTATTTGAACTTTTATATTGGATCGTACTAGCCTATATAACTTGTACTGACACTAAACCTTAACAGACCTTGTCGTGTTGATTTAAGAGCTTAAAAACTTTTAACTCAATATAGCACACACATATCTACCTCATGTAATCCAACTCAATTATTTAACAATAACGTGCCAAGCCGTGTCTGTTACAAACCGTCCAACCCATTTCACACTTCTGGACCCCACTAATTACAAAAACTTACAGTGATGGAAGAAAAAATTACACCGAGTAAACTTTTTAATACCTTAACACCTTATACTGGCATTGCTTTTACTTGTTTATCAAATAATGTAGTTAATTCAATTTAAAATCAATTATAAATAGTTTAAATGATTTTTCTTGATTCTAAATCAAATTTGAAAAGGGTTTTTTTTTAATTTTTTTTATCACAGTTTAAGCTAGAGCTAAGGTTAAAATTGAAATAGTGAAGCGTTACCAATAATTATGATTTATTTGTAGAATATTAAAATTTTTATTTTAATGATAAAAAATTAAAATTTAGTTATCTTAAATATAAAAAATATGAAAAGTTATTATATTACAATATATATATTTGAATAGATATTACAAATATATTTTAATATTGTGAAGGATTATAATTATAGGAACTTTATTTGATGAATAATTCAATATTGCAAAAATTTAAGACTGATGGGTAAACATTTAATATTTTCCAATCAGGTTGGGTCATAGAAAGCTCTAGCCCGACCTTAATTGCCCTAAGCAACAATCTAGACTTGATTTAGATAATGTTTTTCCTCTTTCAAAAGGGTGAGGTTTAAGTTTCACACTAATACTTCTTCTTTAATTTTTTTTTTTATATGTATCCATAGAATAAAAAATATTTTCATAGTGAAAAACAAATTTCATATTCAGAATCAATTTCTTTTTTTTTTTTTTTAATGAACAATTCAAAGTTCAAACCAACTACCATAGAAATTAAAAGTCGCCGATGATATCCAAATGGGAACACAAATCTGCCTTTGTACAAGCATCAGAAAATCCAGTCAAAGGCAGCACGAGGTTGAAAATTTTATTCCAATTTGCATAGTAGTTAACGGACTAAAGTGGTCAAGCCATAATTAAAAGCCATAAATAATAATAATATGATATTTTAAATATATTTTAAAATTAAAATTAAATAAAATAATTTTGTTCATCAAATAATGTCCCAAGCTGACCTAACCTGAATTTCAAAAATCTTATTTGAGGTCTGGCCCAAATTGTGTCAAAACTCATTGAACCAGGGTATCCATCGACCTGTGCACAGATTTATGATAATGTGCCACTGAAAATAATTATTGTTGCATGTGCTTTGAAATGTTTATAATAAATATGTATTGTTTGTAATTTTTTAAAAATTTTAATTTACTCTTAGCTTTTTAATTTCTATTTAATTAAACATTATACATTAAATCTTTTTAAATTTATAATTTTTAAAAATTTGATTAACATAGGTATCATTTTAAGTTTACATAAACAATTGAAATTTGATCAACGAACATATCAGTTGATATTAAAAACAATTTTTTAAATTAAACACAATCATGTCTCATATAGCATTTTGATTCATACAGACAAAACCAGGCCCCTTTTCAAAATCTTAATTAATTTGACCTCTTCATTTATTTTTGAATTTGTAATTTTTTTGCCAATTAATTTCCAATATTTTCAAATTCATCCTTGGTGCTTTTTGAAAATTTCCCCTTTCACAAAATTTGAGTTTTTCAATGGTCCTTTTTAATATCTCAAATCTTATGCTTTGTCATAACGTCTAGATCCGGAGATCTATCATTAGACATTGACTTTTGGGAGTCGCCACCGATTTTTTTTATCTAGGTGCGATTGGTCACCTAAAAAATTTGTCTTTTTAGGGAACGCCTAAGTTTAAGGACCCCTAAAAGAATACGTTCAGGCCTGCTAACCAGAACAAGGTTCGGGAGTTCGATTACGTGTGAGGAAGGTTATAGCACCCTCGTAACGCCCATCAAAATATGGTACAAGCTGAAATTTGTGTTATCCAATGAGCCTTAAAATTTTACCAAGTAATTAATTATTGAAAATTTTTTCTCAATTGACTCTAATACTTTTAGCAGAAAATTGAGAAAATTTCCTCACCTCAATAGTATGCAAGAAAAAACTACTGTTTTACTTGCAGAGGCTCCGTCGTCGGATTAGTTAAAAAAAACCAAAATAAAAAGCAAAATAGAAAGGAAGGAAAAATGATTTTTTTTGTGTAGGAAAAATTGATATTTCAACTTTTCCCCAAAAATATTTTTTGGAAATTTATTTCTAAGGAAAATTGATACTTTCAACTTTTCCTCAAAAATATTTTATTTTTTTTGAAACTTTGATTTTCAAGAAAAATTGATACTTTCAACTTTTCCTCAAAAATCTTTTTTTTGAAAATTTATTTTTAAAGAAAATTGATACTTTCAACTTTTTCCTAAAATTTTTTTTGAAACTTTGATTTCCAAGGAAAATTGATACTTTCAACTTTTCCTCAAAAATCTTTTTTTTGAAAATTTATTTTTAAGGAAAATTGATACTTTCAACTTTTCCCTAAAAATATTTTTTTTGGAAATTTTGATTTTTATTTAAAAAAAAAGAATAATAAAAAAAATAAAAATAAAAAATAAAGAAAAGTAAAACAAAAATAAAAATAAAATAAAGATAAAAAGAATATTAAATAAAACCTAATTTAATAAATATAAAATAAATAAAATAAATAAATAAAGAAATTTCGAAGAAAAAAAAAAAACATGGAGCAGCTCGGCTCAAGGAAGAGAAACGGCTCAGGGGGGCGGCTTGGAGCTCGGCTCGGCTTGGATGGGACAAGCCCGCGAGGGTCAGGAAGCGGGTCGATGCTCGGGTCGGGTCGGGTCACGGCAAAACGCGCGGATCCTTTGGGTCACTTAAGGCCAAAACAACGTCGTTTTGAGAGGGTATAAAAGGCACTTCCCTCTGTTTTTCGACAGAACGCTCCTCTCCTCTCTCTCTTCTTCCTTTTTCCTCTCCCTTCTCTCTAAAAAGGTTGAAGAACACCGATGAAATTTTCGTTGGATTCTGGAAAAAGTCACTGAAATCTGGAAATTTTACCGAAAGTTTGCCGGAAGATCACCGGTTTCTGGGATTTTCATCGAAAATTGGGCAGGTCACCGGAAACTTCAATGTTGGCCGAAATTTTCGTCGAAAAATTCAAACTTCGCCGAAAAATTCACCGGAATCTGGAATTTTCAGAAATTCCCAGAAAAAAAAAATCGCCAAAAATTCTAAAAAATTTCTGCTAGCTCCCAGAACACTCCTAAACTTTTCTTAGCTTCCTATACGCCTATTTTTCTCTCAAATCAGTAACTTTGCTCACTGTTTTCTCTGTCTTTAGCATCTGTTCCAGGAGGTCCCTTTTATAGGAATTGATCAGGAGTTCCTGATCAATCCTAATTCCTCATTGGACGGGAATTCAATCTTTGAGTCCAATCTGGACTCTTCTGATTGAATTCCATTCACAATGGGATTCTTCAACTTTCAATCCCAGCCCTCCAAAATCAAATAAAAAAAATAATAGATAATTAGAAAAGATAAGATAAAAAGAAAAAAAAATAATAATCAGATAATAAAAAAGAATCAGATAAAATTAACAGATAATTTAAAAAATAAAATAAGATAAACCCAAAAATATATTACAAAAAAAATAATATAATAATAATAAATATATAACTATATACATATAAATCTATTCTAAATAAAAATAAATAAATACAAATATACAAAAAAAAATACAAAATAAAAATTCAATTGAATCCTACCCAATTGGGCCAGGCCCAATTGATCTGGGCCTGGACCCAATTGAGTTTCTACATGCTTAATTACCTTCACCTTTTTTTTTCTACACTCCTTATAAATGTTCTAGTATAGAAATTAGTAAGTACATTTGCCAATGTCACTCTTCTATGCAAAGATAACAAAATTAGATCTTATAGTTCATAAAAGACATCAATATTCACCCTTGTAAAAACTTTAAAACAGTTTTCAGAGAAATCAAGGGACAGAAAAAAATAAAAACAGGGAAGGGTCAACGCATCTAGAAATCCAGAAGCTAACAGGAAAGACCCCCAATTTCCCCCCTGTAAACCAAGAAAAATCATTTATAAAACCTCTTGGAAGCTGAAAATTGTAGACTGCTATGGTCAAAAGTTCAAATCGTCTACATTGTGCAAAGCATAAAAGGATGCTAAACTACAGACAGAATGGTAGTAGTTATCAAGTTCAAAGTAGACTGTGTTAATAATAATTTATACAAGTAAAAAAATAGCTTAAACAGACAACTAGAATTTGTCACATCATAAGGCTACATCATGCACTTAATATATTCTGTAGTTAGAAACTTTCACATCAAATTCATAATTCGGACAAACTCTGCTTAGATCAATCTGCTATAACTACCATGAAAAATTATATGTTAATCTGAGACCAATGAAATGAAATTTCACTACTGTATTTATATGCAGAAAATCCCAAGCAGTACGTGCTATAAGATAAGAGTTAATAAAGAGCGACGAAACAGATGTAGAACTTGATTACCAAGCATGTCAACGCCTCAAAAGCTTTCAATTTGTGTTTTCCATCTTCTCTTCCTTTCCTTACTTCCTTTGAAGACTACCTCTTCACCAAGAACACAAGCGGAAGCCCTGATTCAATGGAAAAATAGCTTGCTTTTCTCTCCACCTTCTCTCAATTCTTGGTCCCTGGCAAATATCAACAGCCTCTGCAACTGGACTTCCCTTGTTTGTGATAGCACTGGCATGGTCTCTGAAGTAAACCTCTTCAGTTCAAACATCACTGGAACGCTCACCCAATTCAATTTCACACAATTTGCCAATCTCACACGCTTTGATGTCAAGAATAACAGTCTCAATGGACCAATACCTTCTGCCATTAGTATCCTGTCCAAGCTTGTTCTCCTGGATTTGGGCAACAATTCTTTTGAAGGTAACATACCATCGGTGCTAGGGCGACTGACGGAGCTTCAATACCTCAGTCTGTTCAACAACAATCTCAATGGTACTATCCCTTGCCAAGTTAGCACTCTTCAAAAATTGTGGTACTTAGACCTCGGGTGGAACAAATTAACCTCTCCAGATTGGTCCCAATTCTTAGCCATGCCATTCTTAAGACACCTCAATGTAGGAAACAATTCCCTTAATTTGGGCTTTCCTGCTTTCTTAATTGATTGTTGGAATTTGACTTTCCTAGACTTGTCAGTGAATAATTTGACTGGGACAATACCAGAATTAGTTTTTACCAATCTGGGCCAGCTTCAGTATCTCAATCTCACAAATAATGCATTCCAAGGACCATTGTCACCAAACATTTCCATGCTTTCCAGGCTCATAAACCTCCATCTAGGAACCAACAAGTTAAATGGTCCAATTCCAGAGAGCATAGGATTCCTGTCCGATCTTGAAACTTTGGAATTGTTTGAAAATTCATTCGAAGGGAAGATTCCATCTTCTTTAGGACGACTAACAAAGCTCCGGAAACTTGATCTTTATTCCAATGGTTTAAATTCTACAATTCCTTCTGAGCTTGGTTCTTGTTCTAACCTCTCCTTTCTGGCCTTAGCGGAAAATCAACTTATTGGCGAATTACCTTTCTCGTTGTCCAATCTCACTAAAATCTCCGAGCTGGGTTTGTCTAATAATTCTCTCTCGGGTGAGATCCTGCCATCTCTCATTTCGAATTGGACCAACTTGATCTCATTGCAACTCCAACTCAACCTTTTCACTGGGAGGATTCCACCAGAAATTGGCTTATTGACAAAGCTCAATCTCCTTCATTTGTTTAACAACAGACTATCTGGGTCGATTCCCTCCGAGATAGGGAACTTGAAAAATCTAATAGCGTTAACCCTTTCTCGTAACCAGCTTTCAGGTTCAATTCCTTTGACAATATGGAGTCTAAAAAACCTACAAGTTCTGCAGCTTTTTGGAAATAATCTCAATGGCACAATTCCAGCAGAGATCGGTAATATGACATCACTCTCCCAGTTAAACCTCGACTCAAACCAACTCTACGGCGAGTTGCCAGAGACCATTTCTCGCCTCGCTAATTTACAAGGCATTTCATTGCATAGTAATAATTTCTCAGGGAGAATTCCTCAAGATTTTGGGAAATATATTCCTCGGTTGCGTTATGTTAGCTTTTCCAACAACAGCTTCTCTGGGGATTTGCCTTCTGAATTATGCAGTGGATTTGCTCTTCAATTCTTGACCGTTAATGATAACAACTTCACAGGGTCATTGCCAGCTTGCTTGAGAAACTGTAGTGGACTAATCAGAGTTCGTCTTGATGCGAACCAATTTACCAGTAACATTACAAATGCATTCGGAGTTCATCCAAATCTTGAGTATTTTAATCTGTGCGATAATCAATTCACGGGCGAAATCTCGCCAGAGTGGGGAGAATGCAAAAGCCTTTCCAATCTACAGATGGACAGGAATCGAATTTCTGGTGAAATACCAACTGAGCTTGGAAAGTTGACTCAGTTGAGGCTGCTAACCCTGAGCTCAAACGAGTTGACTGGGGAAATTCCTATAGGGGTAGGAGCTTTAAAACTGTTGTTTAACCTCAATTTGAGCCATAATCATCTGTCAGGACAGATCCCTCGGAGTATAGGTCATTTAATGGAGCTTCAATATTTAGATTTGTCAGAGAACAGCTTGACAGGAACAATACCAGAAGCGCTTGGGATCTGTAACAGGTTGTTGAGCCTGAACTTGAACCACAACAATTTATCTGGTGACATTCCAAGTGTGCTAGGGAGCTTAAGTCTTCTGCAGTATTCATTAGACCTCAGCAGCAATTCATTCTCAGGAAATATTCCTCCGGAGCTGGGAAAACTTATTTCACTGGAGAATCTTAATGTTTCACATAACGATCTCTCCGGTAAAATCCCAACATCTATACTCCAAATGATCAGTCTTAGTTCATTTGATTTCTCCTATAATGAGTTGATAGGTTCAATTCCAACTGCTGGCCCATTCCAGAATGCATCGGGAGAAGCCTTTGCTGGAAACTCTGGTTTGTGTGGAAACGTCGAAGGATTGCCTCCTTGTTATTCAATTTCAACCAGAAAAAGGTCCAGAATGCATCATGTGAAGGTGGTTGTTGGTGTAGTTATTTCTTTCTTTGGCGTATTGGCATCAATTGCCGCAGCAGTTTTTGCATGTCATCGCCTAAACAATCAACCGGATGAGGAAGCTGAAGGTAGTAAGTTTGAAAGTTCCGAGTTGATACAGATAAAAGGAAGAGATTATAAATTTGATGACCTTGTTAAAGCCACGGAGGACTTCAATGAAAGGTACTGCATTGGGAAAGGGGGATCCGGACGTGTTTACAAAGCATTATTGCCTACAGATCAAGCAGTTGCGGTTAAAAGACTCAATATCTCAGACCGCAATGACATTCTAGGTACCAATCGCCAAAGTTTTCAGAATGAAATTCGTATGCTGAGAGAAGTTAGGCACAGAAATATCATCAAGTTATACGGGCATCATTCTCATAGGGGGCGTATGTACTTGGTTTATGAGTATGCGGAGAGAGGAAGTTTGAGAAGTGTATTGTATGGAGCAGATGGGGAAGTGAAGCTATGCTGGGCAACAAGGGTTAAACTTGTGCAAGGATTGGCTCATGCAATTGCCTACTTGCATCATGACTGCTCTCCACCAATCATACACCGAGACATATCTTTGAGTAATGTTTTGCTAGAAGCAGGATTTGAGCCAAAACTCTCAGATTTTGGTACTGCAAGGTTGTTGGATCCAAGTTCATCCAATTGGTCGGCAGTAGCTGGAACTTATGGCTACATGGCTCCAGGTAAGCTAAGAATTTGATTTTTGCTACTGCTTTGGTATCATGTTTCTCTTGTATTTGCTTGGTATTTACACGAAGGCTAACATGTATGTATTTTGTTTTTTCTTAAATGTTTAGAGCTTGCACTCACAATGCGGCTCACAGATAAATCTGATGTCTACAGCTTTGGAGTAGTGACATTAGAGGTTATGATGGGCAGGCATCCAGGGGAACTCCTGAGTCCCCTATCAGAATCGACTTTGTCATCAGAAAATGCAGAAGTGTTTTTGAAGGATGTGCTAGACCAACGACTCCCGAATCCCACAGGCTATATAGTAGAGGAAGTTGTTTTTGTAGTCAGTTTGGGCTTGCAATGTACAAATGTTAAGGCAGAGTCAAGACCCACCATGCGTTTTGTGGCACAAGAACTATCAGCAAGAACACAGGCTTGCCAGAGTAAGCCATTAGGAAAGATGCCTGTTAGCAAGCTAACTGGATATCAGAAATAGAATGACGTAAATCGAATGAGCAAGCTACAATTTTTTTTTTTTTTTGGGGGGGGGAAGGAATGGCCAACCAAATCTCTCGTCACTATGTTGTTGGGCCGTAAATTACATGATTTTTTTTTCTTTTTTAGTGTTTGTATCTAGTAATAAGTTGGATTGTCAAGTTTCCACAAGAAACTAGCAGCCAGAGCCCTGAGTTATCCAACGGTGGCCTTACAGGCTTGACAGCAGTGGCTCACTCTGTTTTAAACCCTTCTTTGCTAGTCAAAGAAAACTTTACTCGTCCAATCACGTTCAAAATGTGTTTGTTTGTTTTAAAGTTGGAAGAGATTTGATTAATGTTTGAGGAAGAGTCAACAGACGCACACCTAATAACAAATTGAGATTTGAGACTCACACCCCATATTCCATATCATTTTATCAATGCTCTATCATTAATCCAGACACTAAGCAAACCATAAATGCATCTTAAGTCCCAACAAAGCAATGGTATTTAGGAGACATTTTGAAAACATGTCTTGTGCACAAAGTCACCTTACAAAGGCAAACCAAAAAATTTATCCAATTCCATCCCAAAATCGTAGGAACAACCCCAAACAGCTAAACATTCTCAAAACTAAAACAACAACAGTCAAACACAAATTCTCGAAATCCATGAAGCCAATTAAAAAAAAATTGAAAACAGACAACTTTTTAAAGGGTTAAATATCACCCAGGCCTCAAATTGTTTACTAACCTTTTGCCTGTAACAACAAATGAAGAAAAATGGAAGAATTCTTTAAAGATTAATTCCCTCCTAATGTTGAGTGGTGTGGGACTGGAAACTCTGGAGCTTTTCCCTAAGACTTAAACCGAGTCCGCTTGGCAAAATTGTTGAATAAGATGCCCTATAACGAATGAGGGATTAAGGGTCACTGTTTTTTTTTTTTTCGGAAAGACCTCCAGATAAAATTCGTAAAATTTTTTATTAGAAATAAATAAATTAAAATTAAAATTAAAATTAAAAAATTAAAAAATTTTATTATATAGATTGAATTTGTAAAATTAAAAAAAATTAATAAATTTTGATATATTTATTAAATAAATATTTTAAATAAAAATATTTATAAAATTGTTATCATTAAGTAATGATCAAATTTAAATTATAAATAATATTTTTAAGAAAAATTTTTTTATATAAATTTTTATATTAAAATTTATCAATTTATGAGTTTGAATATTTTATTAACATTTTCATTAAATTATTTGTTACAAAACTTTACAAATTTTATTTAAATAACTTTAGGTAACTTACGTTATTTTTATTGCTTTTTAAGTCATAAAGTTTAGTAGAGCCTATGTAATAAAGTTGGTAAAATTTTCATTTAAAAATGATAAAACAGGTTTTGAGATTTGAAAATTGAAACCTGATTAAGATTTTTTAAGCTTGGTTAGTGACAACATGAGTGGCATAGAAGGAAATTGTTGAAAAAAAAAAAACAAAACAGCTTTAATTTCTTGGTCGGGTCCTTACAGCTAAATTTTCTGTTGATTGAAATATTCTTTTGGCCAAATGTTGACTAAAATATTTAATCTACGGAAAATTTAAATATTATCAGTAACGCATTGGCATTTACCTAATAGAAAGTATTTGGTATGAGAAAGTTTTCTAGTAATTTAATAATTTTATGTAGAGTGATTTTAAATTAGTGGATGATAAGATCAATGGAGAATGATTTGATTCACATTTGAAAAGACAAGAAAGTTTAATCATAAATTTTAATATTATTATTTTTTACTATTTACCTTGACGATAAAGAGAATAGATTACTTTTAAATTGTTTTTATCAGTAAATCTTCATCGTGAAAAAATCAATTATGAGACGATTAATTCGCGAAATGTTTTATAATTATAATTATAAAATATAAAGAAGTTTGTTTGCATAAATGTTTTAATTGATTTATAAAAATAAAATTTTTATTAGTTTAATAGATAAATATTAATTAAGACCTTCAAAATATAAAAATGTCTTAATTGATTCTTTTTAATAATTATATAAGATGATTTTGAAAATTATCAATTTGTTATGATATTTGTTTATTAAATTAATTAAAAAATTATTTTTTAGATTAATTAAGAAATTTGTGCACAAATGACTTAATTGATGATAAATTATGATATTAATTAAGGTGTTTGTTTACATAAATGATGAATTATAATTCTTTTCAACCGTTACTTAATTATACCTTAGGAATTTGATTTACATGGTTATGATTATCAAAACATTGTTAGTTTATAATATTAAAATTAGAGAAATTATCAAATATATTATTAGTGAAATTTTTTAATTTCACAATTAGAGTTAATTAGGTGATTAATAACTTTTAGTGTATATTAGTTACAGCATAAAGCCATCATCTCGATATATATAGTTAAGATTTTATTTTTATTTTTAATTTTTTTTGAAATTCTTAATTTATTTTTAAATCTTTTATCCTATTATTTATCTAATTAGAAAGGACATTACATATATAAATTCTTTTGAACTCATAATTTTTAAATGTCAACTTCAATGACATATCAATTGAATAAATTTTGAAAAATCATCATTTATTTTAAAAAAGTTTTAGTTACAATTGAATAAATATTTATTGATTATAAAAAAAACAATGAATTTATTTTCATTACATTGTAGTTTTTTATAAAATGATATATCACTATTTTATAAATTGTTCATTTAATAAATATTAATTTTTTTGCTTTTTTAAATACTATTTTGAATATTTTGTATTTGATTTTTTCATATAATATCACATACAACGATTTATAATTACTAATGAAATATAATATTATATCAAATATAATAGTTTAAAATAATTCATAATCAAATTATCTTAATAATTTTATCACCACAATAATTAAATTATTACTATGATTATAAAAATGATATTAAACGCTACTTCACTATTATTTTTTTTTTAATTTACGAGTATTAGAGTTATCATCAAATGAATTTACAAGCAATCCATTGTCTACCATGTTTTTGGAAATTTATTTTACTGATTCTAAAAGATGCTAGTCCTGGAATTTTATCAAGCAAAAACTCTTGTCATAAAACCCTCATAATAATCATGAATTTGAGTACGTAATTCATAAAGAGTTTGACGATTTATTACTCCCTTTTTGATTTTTATGGAATGAAAATTTTTTTGGTTTTAACTTTCTTTTTATAAAATTGATGTGTCAAAATTTTAATATCGAAAAGCAAAAAAATTAAAAAATAATTTTAAAATATTAAAAAAGTAAGAGAATAGATGTTTAAAAGTAGACATAATTTTAGGACAAAAAAGGGACAAAAAAGAAGATAAAGTAAGTATATTTTTAATGAGAAATTATCAAATATATTGATAATAAAAAATTTAAATTATTTGTGGAATTAAAAATAAAAAATTAATTAAAAATAAAAATATAAAATGTGTTAATTTCTTAACATTATTTGTGAAATCAAAAATTTATATTAATAGTGTATTAAATACGAATTCTTTTAATTATACCATTATGAAAAGCAAAAATTAAAAAATTAAAATAATTATACAATTTTTTTTAATCTCTATGTAATGTATGATTAGAAACTATAATCATAATAAAATAAAATTTAATATATATAAAAAAATCAATAATCAAATTAAATCAACAACCAGTAAATCAATAAATAATTAGCAACAACCAATAAATCAACATGCAATTAGACAAAACTCACACTTGATGATAGTTGAACCTAAATCTATTGTACTTTACAAGTAAAAGTTCACGTGAGGCATACCTAAGAATTGGCTAATACCTGTTACAGATTAATATAATCTTCCTTCCATTTTGGCAGAAAAAGTGACTGGAAACGCACATAGGTAGGGTAGCTTGGAAATAGTTGAACCAAAAGAATAGGCCAATAAGGTCATATTCAATAGTAATAATTTGAAATTTTATATTAAAATTATATTGTTTGGAGGTTTGATTGTCGAATTATATTATAATTTATATTTATATATAAATATAATAATTGATGATAATGGTAAGTGATATTGTACTTATGATTTTAAAAAAACCAGAAGAATGAAAATATACTAGTACTAAAAATGTAATCCATGCATGTTAAAAATCAAAGCCTCAACGTCAACTGGGTCAGTGCTGTGGCCTACACGCTTTTATTGACTGGCAAAGGACAAAATTCCCAATCAAACAGCTGTACTGGTAGACCAATTTATGGCAACCAATAAGAAGACTTGGAATTGAATGTTTACGGCATGGAAATATATATGCCCTTCTCCTCCTATCTATAAGAAAGTTCATCATCTGAAGTTCTAAACTAAACCCCAAACGTAAATTACTAAATTCTCAGCAACTAAAGCATGTCAACTTTTAGAAATCCCTGTCTTGTTCTCTTCCATATTGTTTTGCTTTCTTTACTTCCATTGAAGATCTCATGTTCAGCAAGAACACAAGCGGAAGCACTCGTCCTATGGAAGAACAGCTTGTCTTTTTCGCCACCTTCTCTCAATTCTTGGTCCCTTTCCAATCTCAACAACCCCTGCAACTGGACTTCCATTACCTGCGATGGCACTGGAACAGTGTCCGAAATCAGCCTTTCCAATGCAAACGTGTCTGGTTCCATTGCTCAATTCAATTTCACTCCATTTGCCAAACTCCTTGTCTTGGACTTGAGCAACAATTCTTTTGAAGGAACCATACCATCGGAGATAGGTCATCTAACGGAGCTTCAATATCTGAGTCTGTTCAACAACAATCTCAGTGGTACCATTCCTCCTCAAGTTAGCAATCTCCAAAAAATAAGGTACCTCGACCTTGGATATAACTACTTTCTTTCTTCTGACTCGTCCGATTTCTTGGCCATGCCTTTGTTGACACACCTCAGCTTGTCTTACAATGAACTTGAATTGGAATTCCCTCAATTTATACTCAACTGCCATAATCTTACTTTCCTGGACTTGTCACTGAATACGTTGACTGGTCCAATACCTGAATCACTGTACTCCAATCTGAGCAAGCTTGAGTATCTCAATCTCTCTAGTAATTCGTTTGAAGGAACATTATCAGCAAACATTTCCAAGCTTTCCAAACTCGTAGATCTTCAACTAGGAAACAATCGGTTAAATGGTTCAATTCCTGATAGTATAGGAACCATGTCTAATCTTGAAACTATTGAATTGTTTGAAAATTCGTTTGAAGGGGAGATTCCATCTTCTTTAGGCCAACTAAGAAAGCTCAGGAAATTTGATATCCACTCAAATGGCTTAAATTCTACAATCCCATCCGAGCTCGGTTCCTGTACTAACCTCACCTTTTTGGCCTTAGCTGGGAATCAACTGAGTGGAGAGTTGCCTATGTCATTGTCACAATGAGTTGGGTTTATCTGAAAATTCTCTTGTCGGTGAGATCCCACCATCTCTCATTTCTAATTGGACCAACTTGATGTCTTTGCTACTTGAAAACAATTTTTTCACGGGGTCTATTCCACCAGAAATAGGCCTGTTGTCAAAGCTCCGCTTCCTCTTTCTGTATGACAATAAACTCTCTGGCTCAATTCCTTTAGAGATTGGAAACTTGAATTCCATGAGAATTTTGGACCTCTCTAGAAATCAGCTTACGGGTCCAATTCCTCCAACTATATGGAGTCTTTCAAAACTTGAAGGTTTACAGCTTTTCTATAATTATCTTAACGGCACAATTCCACCAGAGGTTGGAAATATTACATCCTTGCAGTCTCTTGATGTCAGCATAAACCTCTTGCATGGGAAATTACCGGACACAATTTCTAACCTCACCAACCTTATAGCATTCTCCGTGTTCACCAATAATTTCTCGGGTAGCATTCCTAGGGATTTTGGGAAGAATAATCCTCATTTGAATTATGTGAGCTTTTCCAACAGCAGCTTTTTTGGAGAATTGCCGCCTGAATTGTGCAGTGGTTTTGCTCTTGAAAATTTCACGGTAAATAGAAACAACTTCACAGGGTCATTGCCAGCTTGCTTCAGGAATTGTTCAAGGCTAAAGAGAGTCCGGTTTGATGGGAACCAATTTACGGGTCACATCACCAATGCATTTGGAGTTCATCCTTATCTAGACTTTATTTCTCTTAGTGACAATCAATTTACAGGTGAAATCTCACCAGAGTGGGGAGAATGCCGTAGTCTTACCAATCTACAAATGGACAGGAACAGGATTTCTGGTGAAATCCCCGCTGAGCTTGGGAAGTTGAGTCGGTTGCACCTTCTAAACCTGGGAGCCAATGAGTTGACAGGGAACATTCCTCTTGAACTGGGAAATCTTAGCATGTTGTTCTACCTCAATTTGAGCAGGAATCATCTCACTGGTGACATCCCTCAGATTATGGGAAACTTAGTGAGTTTAGAGTTCCTTGATCTATCGGGGAACGAATTGATAGGAGATATACCAGAAGAACTTAAGAGTTGTGAAAAGTTATTGAGCTTGAACTTGAGTCACAACAATTTATCTGGTGATATTCCTCGTGAGCTAGGTAGCTTATCAGTTTTGCATTACTTACTCGATCTCAGCAGCAATTCCTTCTCAGGTTCAATCCCTCAAGACCTAGGGAAGCTTGTATCATTGGAGAATCTAAACGTTTCACATAACTATCTCTCAGGCGGAATCCCGACTTCATTGTCCTCCATGATTAGTCTCTGGTCATTTGATTTCTCCCACAATGAGTTAACAGGCCCGATTCCAAACGATGGTGTATTCCAAAATGCTTCTGGAAATGCTTTTGTTGGAAACTCAGGTTTGTGTGGAGATGTTGAAGGATTAACTCCTTGCAGCAAGTCCAATAACAAGAATGTTCTTATCGCTACCATTGTTCCTGTAAGCGGCATATTAATTCTAGCAACAATAGCTGCTGGAGTGTTTATATATCTCCGGCGAAGCAAAATGCTCGATGAGGAGATTAAAGGTAGTAAAATGGCTGAATTTTCTGAGTCAACCAATTGGGAAAGAGAAGGAAAATTTACATTTGGTGACATTGAAAAAGCCACAGAAGGCTTTGCTGATAAGTACTGCATCGGAAAGGGAGGATTTGGAAGTGTTTACAGGGCAGTATTGCCTTCAGGTCAAGTAGTTGCAGTTAAAAAACTCAATTTGTCAGACTCCGAGGACATTCAAGTCACCAATCAGATTTTTGAGACCGAGACATCGAAACATCGTCAAGTTATACGGGTTCTATTCTAGTAAGGAGCTTATGTACCTGGTCTACGAATATGTGGAGAAAGGTTGTTTGAGAAAAGTGTTATATGAGGGTGAGGAGACGCTGGGCTGGCCTACAAGGTTGAAAATTGTGCAGGGACTGGCTTATGCAATTGCTTACATGCACCGTGGCTGTTCTCCACCAATTATACACCGAGACATATCTATGAATAACATTTTGCTCGAGTCAGATTTTGAGCCCAAACTCTCAGATTTTGGCGTTGCTAGATTGTTGAACCCAAATTCATCCAACTGGACCACAGTTGTTGGGTCTTATGGCTACACTGCGCCAGGTTAGTTAACTGCTTAATTAATTCATTTTTCGGAATAATGTTTTAGCGGCTCCAGTTTTCATGACTTTTTTTTTCCTTATTTTCTTTAATAGGTGACTAACTTTGGTTTCTTTAGAGCTTGCACTCTCAATGCGAATCACAGAAAAATGTGACATCTACAGCTTTGGAGTGGTAGCATTAGAGCTTATGCTGGGAAAGCACCCAGGGGAGCTTTTGAGTTCATTGTCAACACCATTGTCATCAAACAACAAAAAATTGTTTCTAATGGATGTGCTAGACCAACGACTTCCACCTCCGACAGGACAAATTGCAACGGATGTTGTTTTTGTAGTGGCTGTGGGCTTAGCTTGTGCTCGTGTCACACCAGAGTCACGACCTCCCATGCATTTTGTGGCGCAAGAACTGTCAGCAGGAACCCAGGCTTGCCTGGATGAACCATTGGGAACGATAACCATTAGCATGCTGGCTGGTCTAAAGAGCATAAAGGTACGGAACAAACCGGCAAGTTTCAATTTGGAGGAGGCAGAGTGCCAATCGAATCCTGGTGCCACGGTGAGTTAGGCTTCGATTATATATGCCATTTAAGAAGTTGCACTAGTGTGTTTATTTCCGTGTTTTAGAGGGCTAGCGGCCAGTAAATGAGAATGTTAAGATTTGGATTGAGCTCCAGAAGTCATATAGCTGGAAGAGGTGTCCGGTGGTGAACCTACGCCGGGCACCCTGTTATAAACCTACGCCGGTGTGTTGGTATTCCTATTGCTTTTGGTGCAAAATTTGGGTTTAATTATTTTAGTTTGAGTAGTTACTGAGTAAAAGTGATTAATCAAAAAATAAAGAATGAAATCAAAGTCTAATAAAGAAAAAAATATTATTGACATATGATTGCAATGAAATTTTGAATATCATGTTGTATAATGTACGAAATAAGTGATCATTGATGCTCTTTCTTGCATTACCAACTAAAGAGACTATATATAGAAATATAAATCCCTTCAAAAAGGTTCAAAACATTTGGAGAATCAAAGCTATCAATAGTGGCATACAGCCAAAAAGAAAAAATGAGAATGTAAGGACAAGAAAGGCATGATCAACAATCCACTCCGCATTGTTGAGGACTGGACCTGTTTGCTTGGGCAAGAAAGGATCAAACCGAACCCAGACCAGTGAGAAAATTGATGCTATAAGTATAGACCACAGCACAACAATGGCTGGAGTCCTGTTTTGCTTTCCCATAAAACCTTTTGAGGAAAGGATAGAGGTGCAGAATGACCCAGAAAGCGAAGAATAGCTTGCCAAACAAGGGACCCCATGAACCATAACCATTATTAATTGCATCAGACACCCCAGCCACGACTCCCACCTTATTCAATATTATTAGAGTTGTTGGAGGGATTAGGAGGGTGGTCCATTTGAAGAGGTAAAGCTCACCAAACTCGGTATCATCTGCAGCTTTTACCGTTACAGTGAAGTTGGTGTCAACTCCAGCGAGGACTTTGAGCAGGCCTTGGAAGACAGCAAAAGGATGCGCAGAGACACCACCAATAACCCAGAATTGTTCATGGCGCCACCAGTCTTGGATGGTAACTCCACTCCATCGAAGTTCAAGCACACCAGTTGCTATGATGGAAAGGAAAGGTACCAAGAACCATACACTTGTAAGGTTGTTCAGCTGCAAAGAAAACAAAATGGTCAAACTTAAAGAATCAGGTTCTTGGAATAAAAATTCTCATGATTCTATTGGCCTATTCCTCTGTTCCTTTTTATATGGTCGTACATGCCAAAGACAAACCAGGTAAATCACCTCCAAGCAAATCAAAATCAGATTTTCATGGCCGAATTAATCAATCACTTTCATAACGTTTTATGAAGCTATCTCCATAATACTGACAGTTGGGATGATGAATTTTCCAGTCAGGAGACAAACAGCTGGAATAGTACAGTGGCAAGTAAAGGTATGGAAGTGAAAGGATAAACGATGGTGTTGATGTAAGCGAGCCTCTCTAGCCATTTCAGTTTTCCACCATAGCCATACCAAAGTGGGCAGTGACGACTGAGGAAGTTTCTACAGAACCAAGAGCCCATCTCAGTACTTGGTGCAAGCGATCTGATAGATTGATTGGAGCTGATCCTTTGAATGCTGGTCTTTTTGGTACACAGTAAATTGAATTCCATCCTCTACAGTGCATCTTAAAACCTGTTAAAATATGTTCCGTTACAGACCCATAAATCCATCCAATCTGTGAAGCAAATAATTTTCACCATCAGTAATCTCCTCAAGTTTCTAGAATTACAATAGTATGTATACAGGGACAAGGGGATCGTTATAATATTACTCACCTCTTTGCCCCACTCTGTTTTCTCTTCATAGCTACAGCTAATTACATGAATGGCCTCCTTAATAAGTGATGTGGTTTTAGAGCCTTCAGGAAGACCAACATTTTCCATCAGAGTTGAAGTAATGAATACTGGTGATTGCCCAAAGCGTTTCTCAAAATTCTTCTGCGACATTAGTGATGATTTCTCAAATTCCTTGGCCCTCCTTCAATCTCCTCAAAATCAAAGAATGGTGCAGACCCGTTTCTAACATAGTTCTTTCCCATCATTTTCTTCTTCTTGGTGTGTAGAAGACCTCCAAGTAAGCTCCTTTTCTCTCCTTTCTTCGACTTTTTCCTTGATCCTCCACAGCAACAGCAACACCATGAAGGCCAGCAGTGGCACGTTATCTTTGGTTACTTCTCGGAGACTGGCGGGTCATAGCCATAAAGTGCCAGCCTGTTGAAGACACAACCTGTGCCTACATATACAGGGCCTTGAAGCCCATCTAAATCTAACCCTAACATGTTGATCTATAACCAAAAACGGCGTTGTAGAATTAGTTACCAATTTTTTAAAATCAAAATGATAAAAAAAAAATATATAGCAAACAAAGTCATATTGTACTATGACTTGCATGAGAAGACAACATTTCGGTTAGCATATCTATCGTGACGATTGATACCATCAAACCTCTGAGGAAATTGAACATAGCAAAGCTTCTTCCAAACTGGGGATCCATTAAAAAGCACATAGCATCCCTTAGGGCCTTGCTGTTGTTGATGTAGTGATCACAATCCAGATTCAACATGAAGGGTGCATTAGTAAGCACTGCAGAGACTCAAACCTGGCAATGATATCCATGATCAAACAAGAGCTAAATATCATTTACTACTTTTTGATCTCACAAACGAAACAAACAAGAAATTAGAGACTAAATGGTACTCACCAGAGCATTCATGGCACCGGTTTTCTTGTGGTGCTGATAACCGGGCCGTTCCTTACAAGATACATACACAAGCCAAGGCAGCTCCTTGCCATCCACATCAAGTGCACCGGCACTCCCTAGATATACCTGTAAAGCGAGTGACTTTCAAGTTCCACTATGATTACTTTCAGGGATAAATAAATATTTGATGCTCTTATCAAATTACCCGAATCATTCCAGGATGATCACCAGTGTTATTTCCAGGCCATTGGGTGCCATCCTGCATCACCCATCCTCTTTCTGGCTTCTTCTGAGCTTTTGCAACCAATGCGTTGATCCTCACTTTAAATTCCTCATATTCCCTCTATAGTAAACCATAAGCAAAATATTTTAAACCCTTGTTAACTTACTTGTTTTAACACGATAAGGGACATTGGTACTTTGTAGCAAAAAAAAAAAAATGTGAACAGCGAGTTTGGCAACTTACTTTCATGGCTCTGCGTTCTTTTACAAAGCTAGGATGCACCTTGTCTTTCAAGTAATCTATCTTCTAGGATAAATAAAACTCAGGTGCCCTAGGCTCGACATTATGCTTCTTGCAAAATGGTACCCACCTCCTCACAAACTCGGCAGCTTCAGATAGTCCGTCAAAAAGAAGCATGGACGCACCATCATCCGATACATAACAACTCACTTCTCGACTGGATAATCGACAGACAAAATTGATAGAACCATGTTTACTGTTATGATGGGTGGTTCCTTGAGAGGGTCAACAGTACTCAAGAAGACATCAACTGAGCCTAGTTGATTTGGCTCTCCCTCACACTCAAACCTCAAGGAGAGGCGATTCAGGTAAGTTTCATGGGTAATGGGGAGCCATTTGGGAAACTGGTCGAGTATCCAGGAGAAGGCAAACCATACTTCACATATAATAGAGATGAGCCATAAGGGAAAAGCATCATAGGTTGGTGTTAGAATACGAAACCGGAGGAAAAACACCAGAATGATGAACCGGAGGATGATGACTATCCGATAAGGGTTGATCAGGCTTGAGGGAATTGGGACTTTTCGCCGTAGAGGTTGTCTAGCTTCAGCCATGCTACAAAAGAAATGAAAAAAGTGTTGTTAATGGGTGGCAGTATATTTTCGTGTACATATTTGCATCCACTTGTTTAAAGTGCCAAAGAGATAGATAAAAGAGGAACTTACAGGTAATCTTCTTCTTCAGCTTGGTCATTTCCTCCATCATCATTGCTCACCAAGCCTCTTTTTTCTTGCCTTTTTCCATTCTATGCTGCCATAAACCTCTTTATTGCCTTCAAAATCCTTTCTAGCAGCTGCGCCCCGTCGACAGACCCAACCATAAATATAAAAATAAAATCAGGGTTTTAAAAGGAAAGAACATGAAACATGAAAAATTTTGTTGCACTTACTGCTTCCTGCAACTGAGAAACCTTGACCATTAGGATGCCATTGTTGATTGTTATAGTCGCCATTTTCCTACAAATTTGACCATCTTGGCCTTATTATTCTTCTTATTTCTGCCCAATTAAATACCATCTTTTGCTTCAATCAACTTTCATAAAGTTGCATGAACAATCATCTTTTGAAATTTAGACTATATAATATATATCTAATAGGATTTATTGTTATTAATTTATTATTCAAGATCAAACTTAATAATCCTGCCATATGAAAAGTTATATATAATAATTCTTATTAATATATAGGTTTTGATGGGAAAAAATTACAAGCATAACAAAGATGTACAATAGAAGACGATTACATTATGAAACTGTCTACTATATAATGAACATACATGTTGCCAATCCGAATCATCCTTGCGGTTCTTATTCTGAAATTCATAATCAATATCATCTTGGTCAGAGTTGTCTTCCTCATCTCCTGCAACTCTTGCACTACCTGCGAGACCAAGAAAAAGACAAATAAAACATGTTAGTTCTGCTCACACTAATTTGTCTACAAAAATGAAAAAAAAAAAAAAAAGACTTGAAACATAATAGAGATCAAAATGGAAATTGAAAGTTAAACAAATTAACCTTTTTTACGCTTGTAGCGAGTATTGCACTGAGGGCAGCTCTGGGTTCCTTCACTCCTCTCATACTCATAACAAGGCTGGCAAACCGAGAAGCCACACACATGGCAAGCCACAAAAAGCTCTCCATCTTCCTTGTGCCCAATCTCATCCCCACAAAATTTGCGTATCTTTCCTGAAGACTGTCGGGTTTGAGGCCGGTTCTGCCACTCCACATCACATTCATTATAAGAAACACATTACAATAATAAACAATATAGAAACGTAGAAGAACTACAAGAAGAAGAAGAGGACGGAATAATTAAGAAAGTACCTCGTCGACGGCAAGTGAACCAAAGCCAGCCATGGTGCCTGAGGCCATGGCAAGCAAAGAAAAAGGAAATAAAATGTGAGGGCAGAGAAAGGGAGAAGAGGGTATTATAACGTGGGTGTGGCGAGTGAAGAACTAAGTGAAATATCAGGGAAGGGGGGGAAAGGGGGATTCGGAAGTGTTTACAAAGCATTATTGCCTACAGATCAAGT